CGGCTGTGCCGAGGCGCCGTCGGGACTCCAGGAAGGGGCGGTCCCTGGCTGCGAATTTATGAACGTGCAACCAGCCAAAGCAGCCCGGGAACGTATGTGTTCCTGATTAACCCATTTGCGCTGATGGTGCTCAGCCTTGTTCAAGTTGTCCAATGCATCAGCAGAGCTCTTGTTCATCGCTCTCAGCCTGTTAGAGATGATCTTGTATCGGTTCTCCCCTCTTGGGGGGGGGGGCGTCGAAACGTGGAGCCGGTCCCAAGCTCGTCCATGCAGCAACCAATGCATTTTCTCCAGGCGGTTGGAAGTAATTCACTTTGACGTTTGTTTTGTACCTGACAGGGGTGAGGCATTGCAAGCAATATCAAAAACCAGCCCTCACGGCATGGTATCGATTGCAAATGTACCTCCCATCGTCTGTCCACATTCTCCGTGTGATGAGGGCCTGTTCTTCTTCGGACAGTGTGCTCTGCCCTGCGCCGGCCACTTGTTCATCAGAAAATATCCATGTTCTGGTTGTGTCAGGCGAGAAAGCAACCTCCCATGCAGACCGTTCTTGTGAAAACATCAAGTTCCACATCATCTGTTGTGTGTTGCCTCTACCAACTTGCTCAACAAATGTCAGTTGCACAATGCGAGAAATTTCATTGAAACGTGCTTTTCCCATCGTCGCAAGAGTTCCATCGCGACAGATGCGATACCTCAGGCGGGTCACTACCCGTCCATTAAAAACAACAACATATTGCCAGTTCTCATTATGCGTCGCATCAGTTTCCCAGGAAGACGGGGTAATTGCGTGAGGCCAAGTTCTCTGAGTTGTGGGCCCGCCGCCGGCTGGGGCAGTGCCCTCAGCCTGATATACCTTGGCAGGTGGAGCTTCATCGTCCTTCCGCTGGCTGAGCCAGTGAGGGATGTGCTCAGCATATTCAGCGGGGAACTCGCGCCTCGTCGATATCAATCTGAGAAGTCCGTAATCAGGTGCTTTGCGCAATCCACTATGCTTATTCGGGTACTAAAGAGTCCCTGCTCCTAGCGTGGACTCCTTCATGGTTTCTAAGGATGTACCGTGCAGCAGATGCCCGTGGCATCGCACCATCCCAAACTCGTAAGGCGCATGCGCGCGCTCTATGCTGTGAGCAAAAAAAGAATGTCCCTGACATGCACGAAAGAACACTGGCATGGGCTTGGAAGCCCGTTCAGCTCTATCGATGGTGATGACTCAGTCTCCGTTTTCCTCATCAACGACTGTGTCGTGTGAGGCGTCTGGGTTGAGAAAAGACCGCCAATGTTCCATTATCGGTGTCTCATCAAGAACCATAATGTCGTCGGCCCTTATGCCGAGAACACCAATTTCTCCCGATGGCAGCGTTGTCTGGCCGTGTATTGCAGGAGCAGTAGTGGAGTGCGTGATGCCGTCATTCGTCATCTTCCGAATGAGGTCGCCTACGTACACCCACCCGCCCGATGATCGGGCGTATTCGGCGCAATGTCTTGCCATGTACACCGCGAACTCACTTGCGAATTGCGCATGGGAGTGCGTTCGGTTGCTGCGCTTTCTCCAAAACTCTGAGCTCCCCAGCACGGCGGACCTCTGGCGCTGCTCGGCTGTGCCGGTAGCGTCATTCGGCAATACTAGACGGAT